GGCGGAAACACAAGACACACACAAAACGACAGACAGAAAGACAGGGGCACACATACCACACACAGACCACCACACACGCGCGCCAGCACACACAACACACACAGACACACTCTCACATGCGCCAGCATACATAGAGACACACGCGCGGGTGCGCGCGCTCTCACACACACACGAACATAAGCACACGCACCCACACAAATACACGCAAAGCACACGGAAGGAAAAAAACGCACGTTGAGTTCCCACACAAGCATTCACGTGGATCAACCCACTCCGGTTCTAGCCGTACTGGGCATCATTGACTGGCCATACGGAAGAAGCGTCGCATGAATGCGGCGTAAAAATGGGTTTTATGATGTTGGCTGCACTGAACCCGCCAACGACAACGTGCAGATAGAAACTCTCTGGTGCAAAATAGAGAAACTAGCCACCTACGAGCTTTCTGATCGAGACGAGCAGGCTAACCCAAAGCCGCTGTCCTGCTGCTCTTGTCACAAAACGCCTGCATAACGCTACCTCTGTAATGAACCCAGATTCTAACTCGAACTGTGTAAGACAAGGATCTCTATTCAATGTTTCCGACGCGGTCGCTAGCCTTTGGACGAAGCCGTCGGACTCAGAAACTCGTCAGCGCCGTCACAAAAATGCCTATGATAAATGTCATCCATCTACCCCACGATGCAACACATGCACAGCTGAAACAACATAAAACAGCTGCTGCGCGTCCTGAACACGTCGCCAACTGCACCTGGTCGTGCCGAGGCATCTACGCCAGAAGCCAATCATTGAAGGAAGACGAGCATTCAGGAACCAAGTACCTTGCCGCAGAATTCGCAGAAGTATTTAGCGTGTTGGCTGACTTCCATCTTCTTCACCTGCTTCCGCAGACTGGCACCATATCGGGTACCTGAAATATGGCAGTTGGACAGGGGAAACGGGTTCGATTACATTCTCCGAATTACTCTATGAATCTTTCACTCTTTTCGTGCACCAGAACTCAAGATGGATGCAACAAATGCCTACAGCTTCTGAACAGAGTGGCTTGCTGACACACCAAAAGATGTCCTGTTTCCACAGATGAGACTCATTGGGACTCATTGAACGAGATGGCAAAAGCAGTTGTTGAAAAAACCTACCGTACTTGCCGACGATCCCAGCCTTTTTGGTCCTCTTCGTCTGCCATCGACAACAAGAACCCAATCGTCAGGACAAAAACGACTTGCGCAACAAACTGAACAAAGCAGGAATCGCCCAAACATCTAGCGCTTTTTCTCGAGAACAACAGCCGCGGGAGTGCGACCACGCCCATGATCAACGGGTCGTTAAAAGAACCATGCGCTAACGGGGAATCAGCGATGGCTATGCGGTGCGACCACAGGCAAAAGACAACCTACCATCTTAACGGCGAGCCGCGCCTAAACGTTCTAAGGTTTAGTGCCTGTGTCACGTCCTCTCGGAGGACGATGCGGTCCTTGAGCAGGATAGAGGGGGGGGAGGGAGGAAGAGGGTGGGGCAGGGGAGGTAATAGGTGTAGGAAAACAGAGGGGTGAGGTAGGGGTTGGATGTGGAGCGAGGAGTTTACGATCTAACGAAGTCGCTAGCGACGGGTCAACTGGTAATTTCCTGAACTAGATCTTCGTGATTCTGAGGTTTCTGAATGCCGCCGATTTTCGGGCTGCGACATTCTTCATGTCTGGCCCAGGTGGCGAGTGAAAATAACAGGCATAACTGGAAATACAAGGCTGCACAACCTTAATTTATTCTCATGTATACATTGTATTTCAAATCCACATGGCACATTATTGAGACTCGATAACTCATTTGAGTATGAGTGGCTGCCATCATTTGCCACAACCCTTGCACCTTCACAGCTTGTTCGAGTATAATTTGATTTGCGAACACCTGTCCACGCTAAACTTCAGATGAAACCGGTACCATACAATGGATAAAGGACTGAGTGAACGATGCTGAATATGGGGTTCTTCAGAAGCATTCATTGCTGTCCTGCTTCAGCTCCAAGAAACCTACACTAATATTCCACCTAACTTCACATTGACAGGGGAGGTGCCTGTAGGCTGACAACAGGACAGGTGTTGTACAATTCAGCCCTAAGGGCAAACAGTCTGCTCAATCAGTTTGTTACTGCACACATTCAGAATATTAGAATGAGTTATGAAAAATACCTAAACTCATTCTCCTCCATGCATCTCCACACTTGAGAGGGCAGCCCAGCATGCCCCCCAATGCAGCTATTTCCACCAATCATTGTGGCTGGCGGAGAGTCTGTGTGTATGATGAATGTCTGTGTGTGCTGGAAGAGGAGGTGGGGACAGGAGCACAATGCTACGGATCCACCAAGTGCTGCTTGCCTGCGGTGCCATTCCATTCGCGCCACCACACCACACCATACCATAGACCTCACCTTGCCCTTCATCCCGCCAGAAACCTAACACCTCATCCCCCGCCCCAACGGCCACGAGGCAGTATATTCCCCAACCCGACCCACACCCTTGTGCATATGAGGTACCAAATCACTCAGAGCAGCAGCAACAGCAGCAGCAACCTCGCAACACAAACGACTACCCATCAGTCGAATCCAATTATCCAACACCAACTGCTGCTGGCCTGGCCCCATGGGAGCACACTGCCACCTGGCCCCAAACCAAACCCAAGGGCGAGAGACAGACAGACCGACAGAGATAGAAAGAGAGGGAAACGAAGCTGTCCCTGGGGCGCAGCTGCCCCATGCTCCCCCTCCCCCGCCTTCCCCTGAACTCTCCAGCACCGGTGCATGCAGTGCAGTGCAGTCAGGTCAGGTCAGTCGAGGAAGCTATCTCTTGGGCGCAGCAGGCGCTTCATGAACTCATAGGTCATGAAGGCGATGCTGACCCCTGGCACCACCTTGGCATACTCGGGCACGATTGCCTCGGTATAGAGCTCGCCACCCCTCTGTGCGCACCACGTGCGCCAGCATTTGGGGGATTGTGCGGCGCTGCGATGGCTGCCGGCCACCTGCTCCCTCCAGCTGCATGCGCCGCCGCACCAGGTCCAGAGGGAAGGTGGCTGGAGTGTTGCGGGAGAGAGGGGTGCGAGGCAGAAGGGGGTGCAAGGGAGAGAGAGGAGGAGGGGGGGAAACGGGGGGGAGAAGGCAAAGAACAGGTGAAGGCGGATGAGGTGGGAGAGAGAAATGTGGGGAGAGGATTGAAGGAGGAGAGCAAGGGCGAAAGGAAGGGGCAGGGGCAACAAGGTTGGATAAACGAGAGAGGTATAGAGAGAGAACGGTAGGACACGAGGTCGAGAGGTGGAAGGGGAAGGATGCTTGGAGGGGCGGACCTGAGGAGGAGCAGATGCCAGCGAGGCTGCCACAGCCGAGGGAGACGAGAGGTACGGGCATGTCGGGGTGGCGCCGCACCCAGTTGGCCTTCACCGTCTCGTACACACAGAAGTTGATGGCCAGATTGGGCCCCACACCCTGGGAGGAAAGATGAGGGGAGGGGAGGGGAGGGTAGCGAGGGGTGCACAAAGGTGCATAGCAGAGCAGGAGGAAATCAACATGCGAGTCTCCATCCCCACCAGCAGCGCACACCAACACCATCATCACCATCAACAGCTCCAGCAGCAGCAGCAGCAGCAGCAGCAGCAGCAGCAGCAGCAGCAGCAGCAGCAGCAGCAGCAGCAGCAGCAGCAGCAGCAGCAGCAGCATGAGAATAAGCATGAGCATGGGTATGGGCACGGGCATGGGCATGGGCATGAGCATGAGCCCAATGATGAGAAATATCCTGATCGCGAGCAGGAAGCATGCACGTACGAGGAGAGTGGCGCCCATGCCCTTGTAGAGCCCCAGCAGCCCCTCATCGCGCACTATGGTGCTCAGCGTGCCCACTATGCCCTTGTAGTACCGCGACTTGGTCTGTACCCCCCCACACACACACGCATGGTGAAAGGAGCGGCAGCAGCACGGTGGGGGGGGGGAGGGGAGGGAGGGGGGGAAGGGGGAGAGGGGGTGGAATTTGGGGGGAATAGAAGTAGAGAGTGAGAAATGGCAGAGGAGGGGAGAGAGGGGTTAACGGAGCGTAAGGGTGTGACAGAGTTGACTTGAAGCAACTGTGGTAGACACTACCAGGGAGTGTGAGGGTCACATGAATGACAGGGCGGCCATGGGGCATGGGGTGCAGCCAAGAAGGAAAAGAGGGTTTACGGAACTGGAGAAAGCAAACGATCAAGGCACGGCGATTGAGGGAATGCAGGAGCTCTTTATTGCAGCAGCTGCACTGCCAGTAAGGGGTGCAGCAAAGCAGAGGTTATCGGCGCCGCACGAAACTGCACCAAGTCGCTCAGCACTCAGTCATCCACTCAACTCGCCCACTCACTCCCCCACCCACTCATTCACTTGACCCACTCACCCACCCACCCACTCACCCACCCACCCACGCAACCACCCACACACTCACCCACCCACACACTCAACCAACCACCCACACACTCACCCACCCACACACTCAACCACCCACACACCCACCCACCCACCCACTCGCCCATCACGCACATGCCAGTCACACAGCACATGCGCACCTGAGCAGCAAGGCGTGTGCGCACGAGGTCAAGTGGGTACGTGATGGTGGCAGCAGTGCACCCCGCACCCCCTCCCGCCAGGAACTTCACCCCCATGTCCACCACGCCCCTCCGCGCCGCCTGCCACCCCTGATCGTGCTGCTGCTGCTGCTGCTGCTGCTGCTGCTGCTGCTGTGGTTGGTGGTGCTGGCTTGGTTGCAGTGCGTGCTGTGCGTGGGTGGGCGGGAGGTCTGGGCTGGGGAAGGAAGAGGCTGCCATGGACTCAAGCATCTGGGGGTGGTGGGATGGTGAGGGGAGGGAGTAGAGAGATGCAGATGCGTTTCTGAGAGTACGATAGACTGAATCCAGGTGTGGGGGAAGAGAGGAAACTGACTATAAAAACGGTTAATGAACAGATCTTACTAAGGAGGAGGAACGAAGCGGGTGGGGGTTGAAGTGAGAAAGGGTGTAAGTGAGCGTCTCACGAATTTGTAGCTCTCGTAGGCGAAGAAGTTGATTTGACTTTTGAGTCAACTGGAAATTCAACTCAGGGGGGAGCACAGGTGTCTCACGGATTTGTAGCTCTCGTAGGCGAAGAAGTTGATGGCGGAGTAGGGCAGGCGGTGCACGATGGTGACGGTGTTGCCCTTCCAGAACGCCAGCGCGCCCTCCTCCGCCACTATGCGCCGCGCCTCCCCAAAGATGGACGGCCGCCGCCGCGCTGCTGACGCGTCGTGCATGCCCTGCACCTGGTGGGGGGAGAGAGAGAGAGAGAAAGAGAAGGGGGGGGGGAGGGCGAGGGGAATGGTGTGGGGGCGCGATGAGGGTGGTTGGTGTGTGGAAGGGCGCGCTAAGGGAGGAGATTGGGGAGGGTGGGAGTGATGAGGGTAATGGGGTGGTGAGGTTGGTTGGGATAGTGCGGGCGAGAGCGGGTGTGTGGGCGATGGTGGGTAGGGTGTATGATCAAGCAATGCGGGAGTGCAGAGCGGCACGACAAGCGAGCTGTGACTGGGATTCCGCACCGCAAGGGCCACAAGGGCTTGAATCAGGGGGGAGGGGAGGGGATGCACGGCTGCGCGGGACAACGATGGCATTGCGGGGGGGGGGGGGGGGGGGGGGGGGGGGGGGGGTGGGTTCAAGGGGGATGGGAAGAAGAGAACAGGCGGAATGGGGGCGGATTGGGTGATGGGGATGGGGGTTTGAGGAGGGTGGGAATTAAGGGAGGCGGCAGGGCGGAAGTGGGTGCGGGGATGGAACGGGGGGTGAAAATATGCTTTTATCAAGGCTCGCCACTTGTTTCCTGCCTGCACACCCCCTCCTCACATCCCCAATTCCCCATCCCCATCCCCTTGTTCTCATTCCCCTAATTCCATCTCCCCATCCCATCCCCCCGGCCCCATTCTCCCATGCCCATACCTGTTCTACATGACCACGCATCTGAATGTGCACCTGGAATATAACCTGATCAGGCATCTGACAAAGCACAAGCACAAGACCAAGAACCTGGCCATGCCCTGCCCAAGCACCTGACCATACACTTGACTGCTGCACGAGTCCCACCTGAATAAGCACCTGGTCATGCACCTGAAAAGCACCTGTGCATTGCATATGATCCACCTAGATAGGCACCTGACTTGACACCTGGTCATCCACCTGAGTATTTCACATGATTCACCTGACCATAAGCATGACCATGCACCTGACCATGCACCTCCACCTCCATGAGCACATAGCCACCCTTCACCCGCCGCCACACGGCCATCACACCCTTCACCCATCCGCACCCATCTCAACTCCGCCCTGCGTGCAACCTGCACCCTCCTCGTAATTCCCTATGCCAGCGCCACCCATTCTCGTCAGCCCCATCACTCGTGCTGCAAGCACTTTCTGAAAATCCTAAACGAACGCTGTCCCTCGCTCGCACTTTGTTTTAATTGTTCACACACACAGTTTCCGTTCGTCTTTCAATTGGCCTTTCCCGTTTCCTTTCAACGATACTGCTGGCCTGAATTCCATCCTAACTTGTTCTTCCCCTGCATTTTGTTCACCGCTCTCAGCTCCTCTCCATCTTTTACTCTCCTCCCTGTGAGCCACGAACCTGGAACAGGATCGTCAGTCGCGCCAGGGGAGCGGTGCACGTTTTACTAACGGCGCCCGCCACGCCGCCCGCAACTAGCTGCCCCACCGTGCTGATCTGCCCCGCCCGCCGCATCCGCTGCTTCGCGTACGCCGCCGCCGCCGCGGCCGCCGCCATTTCCTCGTCGTCCTCTAGCCCGTCTTCCTCGGGCCCGTGCCCGTGCCCCAGTCCCTCCCCCCGCAACCCTTCTCCGCGCAGCCCTTCCCCCCGCAGTCCTTCCCCGCGCAACCCTTCCCCCAGCAACCCCTCCCCCCGCAGCCCTTGCTGCGCTTGCTGCAGCCCCATCACGGTCGCTCCGCCAGCGCCCCGCTCTTCCCCCTCCTGCAGCTCCGCCGACGCCGCGGCGGCGGCAGGCGGGGGTCGCGCGGAAGACACGGCGGCGGCGGCGGCGGAAGCGGCGGAACGTCGAAGGTGCGGAGGGTCCGCGTCTGGCCGGGCGGCAGGAGCAACTGCGACCCCGGTACTGCGGGGCGGAGAGGCAGAATATGGAAAAGGACGGGACAGGCAGGGGGGAGGGAGGAGAGGGGGACAGAGGGAACAAGAACAGGGGGGAAACGGGGGAGCGATCGGCGGAAAATCCAGCGGGGACTATCGGCACAGCAGCATTCAAGGGGGACGATGACGATGGCGAGGACAGAAGCGGGGGCAAGGAGTAGAACGCGCTGAGCACGGGAACAGTTACAGCAGGATCTAACAAGAATATGAGTAATCGAAACACGCGATCAGGCAACGGCACCGCGAGGGGCAGGCGAGAGGCATGCAAGGGGCAAGGGAGGGGCAGGAGGGGCAGGAGGGGCAGGGCGAAAGACTCACTGCAGCGCAATCCCATCAGCGCTGGCCGCCACCGCTCCTCCCGCCCTCGGCACCAGCTCCGCGCGCAACGCGTGCGCCACGGACGGCATCACCAGCGCGCCCGCCGTCACGCCCGCCGCACCGCGAAGCACCGCTCCTAACCCCACGCCTGCAGACTCCCTCTCGGCAGGTATTCTGCTGTCGGCTATCCGCCGCAAGCCGCTACCGCCAGAGGCTAGCGCTGCAACTTCCGCTCCGCCTGCCGTCTCGCACGGGCTCGTCTCTAAACTCGCCCCTGTAGTCGTCGCTACATTTGTTTCCACGCTCGTGTCTGTGTCTGCACCGCACGCCCTTCCAGTAACGTCGCTCGCAGCGCCAGGTGAAGCTGACGTGGGCTCGGTTGTACCCATGGCGTGCTGCTACGGAAGCCGCTAACGCCGCCGTGCCTTGCGCCGTGTCGTGCTACTATGTTGAGTATTAGCGCCACGGGACGAAGATCGATGAACGGCAGCCGGGAGGAGCTACGACTGCGCGACAGGGTGCGTCGCGCGAGCGCCGATCGTAATAAGATCCAAAGTACTGACGGTGGCGTGACACGGTGGCCCCGTTGCTCACGCGGTCCTAACGAGCATGATGGTCCTTACGCGCATGATTTCTCGTCAATCCAAAATCGTCCTCGTCAAGCATTCATCCGGAGATTCAGCGAACGCAGAGAGACGCGCGCTAGGAGCGTGGGATGACGGCGATGGCTCGCTTATTTTTTAAGGGACTCGACGTATGCGTGTGTTAGTGGATAGAACAACGCGATGAGGACAACGTAGCGCATGACTGATCCACGAATGGACGGCTGCTGTGACGAGGCCAGTCCTGGTTTCTCATGCTGACTCACGCTCGCGCGGTCATGACCTGCTGCTCTAACCAGTGTAGTCCTGTCGCGAACGCGTCGCTTTGTTTAGCTTCCGTGGCTGCAACTACTTTGCCAAAGGCGGGAATTATGAGCAACTCGAGGAGTGAAACGGGTAGGTAGGTAAAAGAAAACGGAAAAACGCTTGACGACGGTAAGTCAGCGTGATTAGGAGCTGGATCGTTCAACAATCTGAAAGTCGATAGGCTGTATGTGCAGCAGCAAATTACCCCGTCAACTAGCCAGGCGCTTTATGTAATGGGCAGGCGAGGCCAAGAAGCTAGGGATCTCGACTAGAGCCATGGTGCGCATATGGGTGCACTGGCGGGGGGCTGGTGGGATGGATGTGAGCTGGAAAGAGCAGGAACAAGGGGGGACGCGCGCAGGGCTAGGAGGGAGGGTAGGCGCAATCATTTTGACCAGCTCCCCCGAGCTGAGCACTCCTCACCAGTTTTGCCAGCTCTGCGGCAGGCGGAGAATTCCCCGGCTCCGGTGGTCTGCTCTGCTGGTGCCTTTGCCGCTTGCGCGCTTCCCGTCCCGTTCCGCGGCAGGCCGCATGTGTGGCGCGTTTCCCCAAGCATGGGAGGAGAGGAGGGAAACACTCTGGCGGGAACTACAGTACAGTTATTCCGCTCTTGCTGGAACCCGCACACCCCTCGCATGCGCCAACAACGCTCCAGGATTCTCCTCCGCCATGTGCGCAGGAGTGGGGGTCCGCCGCCTGTCGCTCCATTCATCGAACCTGCAGCGGTCACCCCAAACCAGTCACCCGCAGCGGCGTGATTTGGACCGCCGTCCGTTTGTCGTCCGCCCTGACCTTGTCTGGGGTACTGTATCCATGAGGCCCGTTCAAGGTTGCAGGTTCGGTTGGGAACCACGGCAGCCGTGATTGGGAACACACCTGCAACCTTGAAAGTCGCTTCCACTGCTTGCTGTGAGTTCCATCTTCTATCGCGTACAGCCATCAAGATGTACACTTCAATCTGTGATACAAACAAGCAGCTGGGAAACTCAATGGATGATACATATTTGGGTCACTTGGACCAAACCTTGTGTTGTCAATGATTTTGCACCTAGGTAAGCTGCTTTCACTTTAGAATGAAAAATTGGCTACCATGTCTCAATTTTTTGTTAAGAAATGTGGCACCACCCTTGGGTAGAAAAATGTGATTGCCCCTTCTGTCAACCACAAAATGACAAGTACTATGGAAAATCAACGTTTTGTGACCTAATTTTACATGTTATATATAAATTATGGTTCCTTCGCTGACTTCTAGATACCTTATCCCAGGGCCCACGATATCAGGGCAAAACATCCTGATTACCCTGATTTCAGGATGTTTTCATACGTTTCCCCTGTAATTTCAAGATCATGCTGATTTTTACCCTGTTACTTCAGAATAATGTCGAATGTTTCACCTGAAATTTCAGGATGGCCATAACATTTTGCCCTGAAGCGTCAGGATGAAAGTGAGGAACGCCCTGACGCGAATAAAGGAGGGGGAGAGGGGGGGGGGGGGAGAAGGGAGGACCTGCGTTCGTTCCCCTCAGTATCTGGTCCTGCCTTGGCACGAACGATCTTTTGCCACGTTGCACACTCATTTTGCCGCATGCACCTGATTTGCGATGTTCTATCATTGGCACGCTACGTTACTAATCAGGGTCTTGGAATTCTTTTGCCCTGAGATTTCAGGATAAGGCCTACAGGTACCCTGAAACTTCAGGATGCCCTAAATCCTAGCACAGACCCTGCCTTATCCGAACCTCGCTGCCGGATTTGCATGTCCTACGCATTCCTTCCCATCCAATTAAGATACTTTTGTTGAAGTCAGATGAAGTGCTTTGCCGAAGTGACCTTTCTGGATTTTTTTTTATGTAGTGTGCATCGATTTTCTGTTCTTTTTTTTTTTTTTTATCGGAGCGTCCATCCGTCATGGTTCACCTCGTTGAGCCCAGCCTTATTGATTCTCACATCCCGATAGTTATTCACAAGTTGCAGCCGTACGACCTCTCTTTTTCCCTCTTGGACCTCTTGCGCTATTGGTGCCCTTAACGACCTCGTCATTGTTGTAGGCCGCCACCTCGAAGCCCATGATCTGGAATCGGTACGTGCACGCCGTAGCAATCCTCTACAACCTGCTCGTTTAACATCTCTTTTGGTTCAAATGGTGGAGCGTAACTTACGGCAGTTCCGTACACTGACTCTTTAGTAGTAATGACAGGTGGACTCATGTGCCTTGTTCTCTTTGTTCGCCAATTACCGTTGCTCTCACATATTGACATTCCTACAAATTTATAATCGATGGCATGACAGTCTCGTGCCACCCTGTTCGATGACCATACTTTGCGATTGCCAAAATATAATCAAGGTTACGCTTTAAGGTCTCGCACATTCTTTGAGGTTACGCTATGAGGTTTCACACGGTGAAAGTGAAGGACGTGATTATGATCCCTCACTTAGATAAGGCACGCACACGGTTGATGTTACTGTCTGAGTTTGAAGGAGGGTGGGGCTGTTATAAGTGTGGTGGAGCTTGGACAAATGCGGGGAGCCACGGACCCCCCCTTCAATCCCCTCAATGCGCGAGGGGCAAACGAGATGGCAGCAAGAGTTGGGGAGACAAAGAACAGTGGGGTGACACGCTGTTCGATGGCCATAGTTTGCGGTTGCCATAATATAGTCAAGGTTACGCTTTGAGGTTTCGCACGTTCTTTGAGGTTACGCTGTGAGGTTTCACACAGTGAAAATGAAGAACGTGATGTTGATCCCTCACTTAGATAAAGCACGCATACGGTTGATGTCACTGTCTGAGTTTGAAGGAGGGTGGGGCTGTTATAAGTGTGGTGGAGCTTGGACAAATACGGGGGAGCCACGGACCTGCCCTTCCATCCCCTCGATACGCGAGGTTCAAACGAGATGGCAGCAAGAGTTGGGGAGACAGAGAGGAGATCTTTTGGGGTTGTAGCCTGGGGGAGACCGTTAAGGGGGGTGACTGTGTTTAATGGAGGGATAGGGGCAGGCCTGACCGAGGTGGTGGTGGCTGGGATTTGGGGATTTTAGGGAGGTAGTTAGGGCGGAGAGAGTACGAGAGACAGCACATGGGACATGAGCGGCAAGCGGTGAGATAGGGAGGCTGCTTAATATGTAGGCGGGCTTTTTGGGACGGGGCGTACAGCAGTGATGGTATTGATAGGGAGGGTGATGGAGGGCAGACAGTTAGGATAGAGGGGGGCATGAAGGTGGCGGCAAGGGGGGGGGGGGGGGGGTGATAGTATTAGTAGCAGGTTGGGTGGAAAATATGACAGAGGGAGAAAGGGGGGGAGATTAGGAGGGCTTCTTTAAGGATTGGATGACCAGGGACTGAGAGAAGCGTTGTGGGAGGGCATGGGGGAGGAGTAGCAAGATTGGCAACAACAACAAGTGATGGCGAGGCGACGGTGCCACAAAGTGGGGAAGTTATCTCGTTCGCGATGTAAGCATTATAGGGGTGCGTAGAGCGGAGCATGAGACATGAGGGGCATGGGAGATGAGGGGCAACCCTTCAAAATGAGGTGCTGTTTGGGAGTGCAGGGCAAGATAAAAGGAGAGAGGAGGGGGGAGGATGTACAAATAAAGAAATGATAGTGCCAGTGGCAATAGCATGAATTGGGCAAAAGGGAGGGGTAGGAGAGAGGGGGGGCAGGTAGGAGAGAGGGGTCGAAGGGCTTGATAAAGGGGAATGAAGAGGTGGAGGAGGAGGAGGTGGGGGAGCGGAGACATTGAGGATAGGGGAGGAGGAGGTAGGGACAGAAAGGAAGATAAGGGGAGGGACGCTAAGGGACCTAATAAGGCAGCAGTCCACATCACATCGCTGGCCAACTGGTCCTACAAGCAATGTAAGTACACTTGCCCGCATATCCGACCTTATATGCAGGGATCCAAATGGGGCACTGGTGATGATCGTGGATGTTTCCACGGCAGAGCCACAGTGCGAGGGAAATGTACAGCTGAGACATGCAACGCCAACTCAGGCTGGAGTGGCCGCAGCTAGCTGATTGAAGGAAAAACTGCGTGACTGGGCGCCACGCTTAGCAGGCCTATAGCCCACGCTGTAGTTTTACGCATGTATTGTAGGAACATTGGGATGTGCGAGCAAGTCTATGCGACAATTTCTAGGGCTTTGCGCAAAGGGGACAGCACATCAGCGACGATACAAGGGTGGGATGAGGATGGAGCAATACAAATTTTACGAGACGAGCCTTATCACATGACTCTTCGTACATTGCAACGAACACAGACGGTATCATCACATAGCATGCTACACGACTTTTAGGCCCACCAAGTGATGGTTGCATGCCATCTCCAGTATTCGAAGCGAGGCAGGGAGCTAGCACCATATCGCGGGTGTTTTGATAGTGTGGCTGACATGCATTGCATGTACCGGTATGTTGTCAGAATGTTATTATCTAGCCTGTAGTGGGGTGCTCTATAGCGGGTACAGCCCAGTTAGGGTTTGCTATATGTATCCCAACTGCAGCTAGTGAAACCCCTCCTTTGCTCATTTCTCTCTTGCCTAGCTAGGGTTTACCTAGCTATGGCTCCTCATCGTGCCAACTATTCTAACATGGTATCAGAGCAGTTACGCTCCTGGCCTGTGGGCCCGCCTGCTTCCGCTGCCTTCCTGTGTGTCGCGCGTCCCGCGGCGGTTTTCTGCCCGCCGTGGCCCCGAGGCGCGCGGCGGTTTCCTCCCTCGTGAGTCACCCCGGGGACCCGCGCTTCCCCCCCTCCCGTCGACCGCCCCGGCGCCCGTCGAAGCGCCCCCCGTCGCCCGACGAAGCGTCCCCCGTCGCCCGTCACGGAGCCCGCGGACCCGCGCGTTGCCCCCCGTCGCCCGACGCGGCCCGCGCGACCTGCGTCAGGAACCCGCGCGGCCCGTACGGGCTGCGACAGGCCCGCACGCGGCCCGTACAGCCCGCGCGCAGCCCGTACGGGCTGCGCCAGGCCCGCGCGCGGCCCGTACGGGCTGCGCCAGGCCCGCGCGCGGCCCGGGCAGCCTGCCCCAGGGCCGCGCGCCGTCCCCCGCGCCGTCCCCCGTGCTCCTGCCCCGTGCCACCCGTTTTAGGGTTTGGGGGTGGCGAGTATGGGGGTGGCGGTTATGGGGGTGCAAGAGTGTGCGCCGTCCCCTGCTCCTCCTCCTCCTCCGTCTCCCACTGCTGCAGCTGCCGCTGAGGGGGGTGGGTGTGTGGGGAGCCGAAGGAGTGGTGCTAGGGGGGTGACGTGGGAGTGGAGTTAGGGGTTCAGCAGGGGGTGTGTGGGTCAGTTGGAGGAGGTTGTGTGGAGGTAGCTGTCGTGCCGCCTGCAGCGCCTGTAGTCCGTCGCCCTTGCTTCGGTAGCCAGTGAGCCTGTTGCACCAGTTGCCAGTGGGTCCGTTGCTCCTGCCGCTCGTCTTAGCCGCGGAGCCAGTCACTCCAGTAGTCCGTCGCCCTTGCTTCGGTAGCCACTGTGTCAGCCGCTCCTGTGACCGTGCCTCTGCAGCTTCAGTCGTTGCCTCCCATCTTCTCTCCTTCCACAGTTCCTCCTTCTTCTCACTTGCCCGCTCTGATTACCTCTAGCTTTGCTTATTATTGTGAACTCCTGCTATGCTTGCTTATTGTGCTGATTACACCCCACTTTGGCTATGGGGGTGTGTCAGAATGTTATTATCTAGCCTGTAGTGGGGTGCTCTATAGCGGGTACAACCCAGTTAGGGTTTGCTATATGTATCCCAACTGCAGCTAGTGAAACTCCTCCTTTGCTCATTTCTCTCTTGTCTAGCTAGGGTTTACCTAGCTATGGCTCCTCATCGTGCCAACTATTCTAACATATGTTGCCTAGATGTAATAAAATTTTAAAGACAGGCCATGTTAGAACATTAGTGCATGCACTGTGTGCGGTTCTATGCTTTGTAAGGTCTCGTAGTATCCCCCTATATGGTTATACCCTCTTTGTCCTCACCTATGATTTCATACTTCTTTTCTTTCTCGTTCTCTCGTCGCATTGTTTCCCTTTCTTCCCTCTTATGACAATATGAATTGACGTTTATAGTATCATGTCGGGTTGATCGCAAAAATCGTAGGAGCAGAAGTTTGCTAGTGAAAGTCGGGTACGGACCCTGTGAAAGGAGATTTTAATATCGACAGAAGCGTGTAATAGAATAAAGTACAGGGGTTTATATATGAATGCAATGGAATAAGAGAAGTCATAGCTAGCCATGTACTCTGCGGGGGTACATTTCACTCAGGGCTAACCTAGATCCGAAAAGCCAATTGTGCGGTTTGGTAACAAGACTCGCAACGATAACTGCTTGAACTTTTTTTCCTGCGCTTGCACTTCAAATTCTTCCTATTTTCAGCTGTCTTTGATAATTGTTTTTGTCGTTTGACCTTCGCCACCACTGCAGTCATCGTCGCGTTAAGAGTGTGTTAGTTTATGACTATTATTCAACAATTGTGTATCGTAACATCTCTCAAGTTTCATATGAGACATATTTGTCATCCCTTTTCCCTTTTTCTTTTTGTATATTGTCGTAACAGCATGAATCTAAATCATGCAATGTACTAGCTTTTTGCTCAAAAGCTTTTAGGCCTTTTTATGCTCCATATTGACGGATGCTTGAGGGCACTGGGGGGGCTGTGTTTTGAATTACCGTATGGAATCGTGTCTCGATTTCAGGGACAGTAAGGGCGTGTAAAATCGGCGTGCATTTTAAAAAATGGTGTTTGGCCGGGTTTTTGTCGACCAAATGGTCGACACTTCTTTCGCACATGTCGACCTGATGGCCGAATTAGAGTCGACCAGTATTTGCACGTCTGCAAATTTTACAACTTTGCAGGCCGAATTGCTGGCCGACTCCAGAAAACTTGTAAAATTTGCAAGTGATACAGTAGGAACGTTTGTGCGACGGGGTCGCACATATGACGGCGAAGTCTCTGATTCGACAAGAGAAAATAATCTGTCGTTCTGCGAGACTGTGCGACGTCGCACGTGACAGTCGCTCACGGAGTCGACTACTTGGCCGAATTGGAGTCGACATGGTGTCGAATTCGAGTCGACTTTCAAAACGGCCATCATTTTCGTTTTTTATTCGCGAAATGTGAGATGGTCGCGAGCGTCTTCGTGAAACTCGCAAACGGGCAATTCGGCCATTCGGCTTGTGGCCGAATTTTTAGGTGCAGCGATTTTACACGCCCTAACGAAATTCTTAGGTGCAGTGATTTTAGCAAGAACTCGAAATTCTTTTGGGTCGACCGACAACAGACGTCGGCGCCATGTGTACAGTGCATTCAAGATATGTGGCGTGCGTGACCCCACTCAGCACACAACGCCTGGGCACTGCACGCTCATTCTCTCCTCCTCCCACGCGGCTCTCCCCAAACCAGGCTCGTGGATCCAGCCCAGGCCAGGCCAGGCGGAATAACCACCCGAATTGCAGGACTAAGAACAGTACATTGGACGAAGCAGCAGAACAACCCGCGGTTCGAAGAATCAACCTCCCCCTTCGGGAAGGCTCCCACAACACATGGCCCTGCCCATTTGAATTCGCCCCACATTGGCTTCACCAAGAAAGTGTTTTAGAAACCAAGAGTTTGCATACATTATTCTACCAGAAAGAACAAACATTTCAAGGAAGCAATGCTTGATCTATCAACTTGCTGCATAAATTCGAGTCAGGAAGGGTAACATTCGGAGACAAATCTGAAACAAGTCCTGCTCGAAATATTTTTGACATCTCGTCAAGCATGCAACCATCCCACTGCGTGTCCTTGCTTGTGCGCCTGGTCGCTGCCTGGCCCTCCACCTTCAGCCCTCCTCGGAGCTGTAATCTTTCAAATCGCTAGCATTTGCCCATTTCTCCGTTCCACCCTCTGACTGAACCACATCCGATGTGGTTCCATGCAGTCTCTAACACCTCCCCGTACGCGGCGCCGCGCTAACTATGGCGTGCCCCGCGAAACCGAATACGTTGTAGCCGTTCCGTCACCATCACCTCCTCGAGCAGCTCCTACCATGTCCCCGCATCTCCCCGCACTCATCGCAACGCTGCTTCTTGCAAGCTTGATTCATGGGCCCGCACTATCCGCCGCGCAGCCCGCGTACTCCGCCGTGGGAGTTCCCACGGCGATCGTGGCGGGCGGCGTGTACAACCCGTTAACGGGCGACGTCTACAACCAGGCATGGCAGATCAACTCGCTGACGCAGCGCGAGACAGGCTACTCATCGAACCCCGACGCGAACAACAACGCGGAGCTCACCTCGTGCGCGGTATCCACGGACGGCAATGCCTTCACGTCGTCGGGCGACAAGTACGTCAACATGATTAAGTACACCACCAGCGGGCCGGTAGCGCTGCCGGCGTTGCCGCTCAACATCAACGTCACGACCGTCGCCCTGGGAGGGCCGTCGGAGCGGCTTCTAATCGCGGCGGACGGGACCGCCGCCGCTGGCGGCGCCGTCGGGATTCGGCGCGACACGCTGCAGTCGACGGTGCTGGTTGCGCAAGGGTGGCAGTGCATGTCGGCTAGCTTCTGCTCGTCGTTCGTGCTGCTGGCGTGTCACGACACGGCCACCGACGCGAACGTACTCGTCACCGTCCCATTCGACGCCGCCACAGGCGCTTTCCAGACCGCCGCCAAGGCTTCTTTCGCCATCCCGTTCCCGCCGGCGCAGGCGGCATGTTCCCCGAACGGCGGATTCGTGGCTGTTCTGCGCATGGACGCAAACACTGTGTTCACGTACAAGCTGCCGCTCGTCGCGCCGCTTACCGCGCTCTCCACGTCGCAAATGACCCCCGGAATGCCCGGATCCATGGCCTTCGACGCTACCAATAGCGAGATTCTTGTAACGAGCGCCGCGGATTTCCCGGGCCTGCCGGGCGACGCGTACCTCGGCACGCTCGGCACTGTCGGGTACACCGAATCGGGAGGCGCGGAGCCCGCGGCGCGGATCGGCGCGTTCCAGTACACCACCGCGTCACCGGTGGGCGGCCAGGTGGCAGTCTACCCGAAGCCGACGGTTGCTTACGTGGCGTTGCCGGAGGGGCTGTACGTGGTGCGGCTCGTGGAGGACGGCGCGCTCGACTACGGCTCCGCGTTCTTCGCCACGCTCGGCGCCGTGCAGGACGGGTGGAGCTACTTCGCCACCGCCGTCTGCGCGCAGCGATTCGTCGCCGCTCCGCCGCCCCCCAGCCCGCCTCCCCCTCCGCCCAGCCCTCCCCCTAAGCCCCCGAGCCCTCCGCCAAAGCCGCCTAGCCCACCGCCCAGCCCTCCGCCTCCCCCGAAGCCTCCGAGCCCTCCGCCCAAGCCCCCTAGTCCCCCGCCCAAACCTCCCTCTCCGCCTAAGCCACCGAGCCCTCCGCCGAAGCCTCCTAGCCCTCCGCCCAAACCTCCCTCTCCGCCTAAGCCGCCGAGTCCGCCCCCCAAGCCACCCAGTCCACCCCCAAGGCCACCTCCTCCCCCCAAACCTCCCAGCCCGCCGCCTAAGCCGCCTCCATCGCCGCCAAATCCTCCGCCGAAACCGCCCAGCCCGCCTCCGCCTCGCCCGCCGCCACCGAAGCCAGTGACGAGCACGCTGGCGACGACGGCGTCTGTGCTGTCGGAGTTTGCCGGCGGCGACGCCGGTGTGTTCGCCACCGTCGCCAGCGACGTTGATGCCGCCGTGGCGCGACACCCGCCCGCGAGGACCGCGCCCCGCGCGCACTATAGCGTCGCGTCGCCACCACCAGGTGAGGGCGGTGCCAGGTAATGGCAGTACGGGGAGTAGCGAAGTGAATCAGGGAAAGCGGCTGATGGTCGCGAGTGTGTGTAGCTTTCTCCACTTCCGAACGTCCTCTGTACCACTGCTGCTCGTTCTGTCGTTGACACGCTTTCTGAGGACGTCATTCGGTACTTTTTCTTCCCTACCGCACTGCAGAACATATACGAATACACGCTCCCACGCGTCATCTCTGGTCATTATTTTCTGCACCTTCTTTCCGTGTGTCGTGTCGATGTGCTTGGCTGATCCGATGGTTGGTGATGTGGTGTGTGGCAGAGCCGACGTCATGCTACGTGGGCACGAACACGCTGTGCCCATTCCAGCTGGACTGCCTGGACTTTGGCGCGAAGAGGGGATGCACGTGCATGAATGACATCATCCCGCAAGGGCAGTGTAGATGTGAGTCCTTTCTGCACCGCACTTGCTCTTGCTTCTTGAGTACCCCCCTTTTCTTCTACATTTCATTGTACATCATGCCTTTCTTGGAGTTTTCCTCCTGTTTCTTGAAGCCACATGCTACTGCCAGCAGTCTATACATCCCAACCTGTACCCTCTTGACTTCTTCTCTCCCGCCCCTCTCTCATATTCCAGATGCCAGTGCATGTCTGGACACGACGGCATGTCCAGTGGAGGCCACGTGCACCACCACACAGAGGGACCGCACAGTGTGCGCGTGTCCTAGTGGTTATCGGCCTTTGAAGCAGCGTGTGGGTGACATGGCCTTCAGCTACTGCGCTCGGTCGACCTGCAAGCGGAACAACGCCTTTGTTGGCTTCAGCTGTGCTGTGCACGGTGAGAACAAACCCTTCCGTCTTAGTAATCAGTTCTTGTACTTCCCCTCCTCTTCCCTGCTGTCCTACCCTGCGCCCCCCGTTGTCTCTCCCACCCCGGTGCTTGATCATAAAAAATCGTACAGCTCAGTTGTTCCTTGATTATCATCTGTTATGGATATCAGGTACATCTAGCTGATGTTCGTTTCTGTCTTATGATTACGGTAAACCGATCCTTGCTGGAAGTATGGAAATGCTCGCGTCATGATCTCTATATCATCTTAATTGTACGTACATCTTTCGTTCGCTCTCATCTCTTTGCCATGTTTCGTTGTGCTTCAAACATTCCGACAATCACCGTGTCTTCATGCAGACGAGGCAGCTGCTGGAATGAGCTTCTTCGGGTAGAACTGCAGCTTCTGAGAAGCGGTCTTATGAAGCTGAATGCTTTTGTGTAATTAATTTATTTTGCACAATGGTTGGAGGAGAGGCAGAATAGCTGTTGTTCCAGTTGGGAAAACAATGGGGCCTATTCTATCGCACTTTCATGTCACTTGTTCAGATGTCATGGCGGCCATTAAACTTTGATTTTTCATTTGTGTGGATATAGTACCCCAACTAAGATACACCAACCAGATACAGTGCCCCAACTAAGATGCACCAAGTGATTACTTTTTGCCTGTTTGTGAATATAGTACTTCATTAGTCCAAGTTTAGCACATTGTATTTGCGACAAGGGGTTGAACTGGGTTTAGTCCGGCCTTTAGGTAATGACCTTTATCGGTACAGTACTGACCATGGATGTAGGTTCGGTTCGGGAATGGTACAGTATCAGGCGACGCTCTGGTATTCGTCCGGAACCTTCAAACATGTGTGCTCATTCGCTGGAAATTCCAAGTATCTCGGTATCCTGACACACGACAAGCTGGGAAGATGCCTGTTCCTCCCATCTAGACCGTCCAAGTTCTCGACTTGCTCTTGCGTCCAACGTTTGAGGAGCTCCCCCAACGTCTGGCTGAGATCTCATGGTCGGTTGCAATTCCACCACAGGCCTGCAGGGGAGCGTCCCCTCGGCAGGGGAGGTCCCGGTGCTAGGTGTGGTGTCGTCTTGACTTTCAGTCAAGGTCGCAAAACCATCCCCTTTGCTAGGTGCATCCCCCCCACCCCACCACACCCGCCCGCAGGTTTCCCCCTCCGACCGTCCCGTTCCCCCCCATTGACTTCACTCTTCCCCTCCACCCCACCCCCACCCTACTCCGCTCCCCCTTCCTCCCCTCCCCTCCCCCTCCCTGTTTCCCCCTCCCTTCCACAGTGCGATGGTTTCCTTCATCACACGCACCATGCCCATAGCCATATTGTACAGTACTGTACAGACCTTCCCTCCATCCGCAGCAGCAGCCACACCATCCAAGCTCTCATGTACATTCCGACACCACACACTCCCCATACATTAGCCTCTATTCTCAAGGTAATTCATTCGTCCATTTGAGTTGGAGCCTGAGCAGACGTACTAAGCATCACAGTACTGGAGACTTGGAGACTTGGAGCATCACGGTACTAAGCAACACGGTCCCGAGTTGTTTTCAACCATGGTTCTCGGCAACGGAATCCTCGCTAGGCCCACATGTAGCTCCCTCATTCAGGTTGAAAGGGGAGCCGCCTTTGTTCAACCTGCTGGACCTGTCGATGCTGCCAGGTCGTGCTCATTCTACTCCAATCAGCTGGCTTTGCTTCTAACCTCGCGGCAACAATCCACTCGCCATGTTTCGCGTCGCGTCAAGACGAGGGCTATCCTTGCAGTTAATGAACACACACTCACGACGACACAGAGGAAGAGCAACGATGAGCGGTCAATTGCGCTCGCCGCTCCTCCAAGTGCGTAATCCTCGTTACATTCCAAACATGATGTCTTGATTGTTGTGTATTTTCCTGTTTTGCCTTGCCATCGGCTCTTCAATGGCTGTATCCATCATACTCGCTGTCTTCCATTCTCTCAGGGTCCATCCACGTGACCTTCACTTTGGAGCGACGCTGCGAGTTCGGCGAGCACTACGCAGTGGTGGGGGAGGTCGACGAGCTCCGCCTATGGGATCCCGCTAAAGCGGTCGTCGCGCAGTGGTCGGAAGGCCACCACTGGAAGGTCACCGTTGTAAGTCGCACTCGCCTACCTACCTCTATATCGCACTCGACCTCCTTGGTCGAGTTTACTGCCCCAGATCTCGCATCAAATTCCTTTCTTTCGCCAATGTTCATCCTCGCCGTTCTTCCCGTTACCCGTCGCATCATCCTCTAATCAACCAGGAACTCCCTGGGGATCGTTCGATCGAGTTCAAGTTCGTGTTACTCGGGCGGCACGGCGAAATCTGGTGGCAGCCGGGTCGCAACCACGTGCTCTCCACGGCGGGCTTGGCGCACAGCGTGGACGTGTACGTGCCGTGGGACACGGAGCAGGCGCTCGTGGTGGTTAACCACCCAGAGAGTAACACAATCGACTGGAGCCTGGACGGCGCATTTACTGAGATCAATGCTCGGGAGGGCGAGGCAGGGCTGGTTGCGGAAGGCGATTCGATTAGCCGCGGCGTCATGGTGAACGGCCACTCCAGTTCCAGCGCGGTATTTAACGGCTTTACTGACTCCGACGTGGAATCTTTTAGCTATGCGGATTATCACATGAAATCCAATGGTTATTCCAACTCTGGCGTGGAATCCAATGGCTACTCCAACTCGAGCATGGAAGTTCACGACTATTACCACTCTCATATGGAAGTCAACGGCTATTCCCATGCAAGCTTGGAATCCGCACGTCTTACGGCAAGTGATATCATCGGCAATGGGAGCGAGATTGGAGAACTTGATTTTGTCGCTCCAGCACAAGAGAACCAGGCCGTTTCGTTCGTGGCAAGTGACGGCAGCGTTCACAACGGGGCAGCACGTGACGGGCAACCCTTCAAACTCGCCGGAAACAGCAACGCTGAAGCTGAGGAGGCAGGCTTCATGGAAGATCGAAGGAAAGTGGCTGCCGAGTCCACGGGCAATAACTCTTTCGCGAACTCTGCAGCAGTTGATGCTTCACGGACTCTCTCAACCGAAATTGATTCAAAATCATTCAAGGGATTGGACGATGGAGAAGCAGCATTTGAGTATGTCTCAGCGTCCAGTGGAGGACGGATGTTCGCTGACATGGCAGGAAGCGTGGAGGCAGCGTATGAGGCTGTTTTCAGAGAGCAAAATGAGGATGAGGTGAGTGCTGCTTGATTGGTTGCAATTCCTGTCTCTTGCCTGAATGAACTGATGAATCCCTGATTTTGCATATCACCATTTTTTACCTCCGTTTTCTGATGCAGACCAATTCCTCCGTGGTTAGAAGGAAGGCGCTGACAAGTGCCAGTGGCAGCAAGCTTCAGCAGCGCAGCATGGGAGGTCAGGTCAGAACTCCACAGCAAAGGAGGCAACAAAAAGCAAACAGCAAGTACCTCTCAGGTGAAGCATTGCCCATGTCTTCGTATGTCCACGATGCTGTTTCATTTCCAGTTGTTGTGATGAAATGCGGAGGTAGATGATCACACCCCTGCGTTTTTTTCCTCTGCAGAGCTTTTCTTCAATGATGCTCATGTCCCACTGCGCCGCTGGGCTGGGGAGCTCTACCTGGACAATCCTTCCAGCACTCCCTCAGCCAACCCTGCTCTCAGCTCCACAGCAGCACCAACCCCATCTAGCTCCAAGCAAAAGGCAGAAAGCTTCATGCCGAGTGCCTCTCATGGCCCCCTCCCTCTGCATCTGACGACAAATGGTGTCCCAGCCTCACAGCAGTTCTCCCCTCAGCCAACCAGTGGATCCTCCTTGACCGCGACCCTAGCACCACCTGCTCCAAACCCCTTTGAAGGGCTTGGTGATTTTATTGAACGAGGCTTGGGAAGGCTGTTCAGCCGCATGCAACGCGCACGCATGTGGTTGGTGCTCATCCCACTACCAGCCCTTTCCACTCCACTTGCTGCGCTTGTTGTGGCTGTACAGCTGTTCCTCCTCTCTACCCTTTGAACGGGAACAACACATCTGCATTCTTTCCTCTGGCGTATGTATAGGTACAGTCAGCTTCGAACAAGTATTGTGACCATTGTATTTTCTCTCATTGGGAAGGTTTGTGAGTTTGACTGCGACTGCAAACAAATGCACTGACCTCTTCAAGATGTGTCAATACCGTACTGTGCCTTGCCTGCACTGATTGATGAACACACAGCATTTAGGGCACGATGTGGCCTACGTGTGGAGCATAGCATTACTTACACAAGGGGTTTCGTATGGAAATTGTTGTTTATGCCAGTGTGCACATTTTGTCAAGCCAATCAACGACAAGCAGTCATGTTGAATGTGTTCCCCAGCTGTGAGGGTTTTGTGAGTGGGATGCGTGAAAAACAGTGGCCGTAATCTCCATCGAGAATCACAGATAACTGATGCGTTATTTTGCCAGCTGCTGTTACTGCGTTTCGCACATGTAACTTCCCGCTTCTTCGTGACTCTCCCCGTGTTATGAGTTGTAAGAATGGAGAGTGCGCAGAATGCAATATCGCGGAAGTGATTACAACTACTGATCGAACAACGAAGCCTAGGCACAATATAGCAAAGCTAGCTAGGCCGAGGTCGCGGAGTCGCGCGAAGGTTGGGTGCAGGTTTGGGGTTGGAAAACCCGAAGGCGACGCGGTTGACGTTCGGAAGGCGAGGTCGTCAGACCGAGCCTGAATTCCGAAGGTTGGAATTGTACGCGTAAGAACAGCCTCAGTAAGGAATTAGCGAAATTCCTTACACTACCCCCCCCCTTAAGAAAGGTGGTCAACATCAGGCACATGTCGTCGGGAGAGATAATCCCGAAGGACCGAGTGCCCTTGGAGTGAGTCAGCGGGGACCCACGTGTCATCTTCGCTTGTGCGATCCACCTAGCGTAGCAGGAAGTCAACGTGGCGTCCAGCGGGGGTCGCACGAATGCGATGATTCAAGATCTTCCAAGGTTGAAGTGTCGGATCTGCCACAGGTCGGACACTTGGCGCCAGGTTGGGTCGGGCGACGTCGGACGGCTACGGAGCCACGTAGTGGCGGAGGAGGCTGACGTGGAAGGCGTCGTGGATCTTCCAGTCGTCCGGTAGGAGAAGTTTCGCCGTGACCGGTGTCAGCATCCGAATGATGCGGAAAGGTCCCAGGTAGCGGGGACGCAATTTTGCGGGTGTCAAATGATATATATGTGTGATATATATTGGTAGGCTGTAGTGGGGTAGATGTTATAGGGGATAACACTTTGAGGTTGTGTCTCTTGTAGCAATCTCTCTCGTCAATGCAACTCAACCTTGCCTAGCTATCTCGACATGGCATCTAGAGCAGGTTCTTAGGACCTAAGTTTAAGAGCCCACCAGTTACTAAGTTACCTCACCAACGGCCTGCCTACCTGCCTTGCCTGTTTGTCTGCCTAGCCTGCTGCCCGCGCGCGCCTCGGCTGCGCTCGCACGCCTTTTTTTTTTAGCGCGCACTGCTGCTGCCAGCCGCGTCGCGCCCCGTCCGTCGCCCGCGCAGCCCGCCCTGAGCCCGCACAGCTCGCGCGTGGCCCGTCTCTGCCTCGCGCAGCCCGCTAAGGCCCCGCGCAGCCCGTCTGCAGCCCGCGCGTCGCATCTGTTGCTCGCGCGCAGCCCCTTTCCGCCCCGCGCGTCGCGTTTGCTGCCTGCGCGGCCCACACCAGAACTGCACGCTGCACCTACCGTCCGCGCGCAGCCCGCCTAGGCCCTGCTCGTCGCGCTCGCCGCTCGTACAGCGCATTGCTGCCCCGTGCATTGCGTCCGCCTGTACCTGCCGCCAGGGTTTAGGGTTTACCCTGTCTTTTTCTTGCCTGCCTTGCGCCTCTACCGTCTTCCTTGCGCACCTGCCTGCTACGGTTGCCTGCTGCCTGAACCTGCAGCCTGAGCCTGCTGCCTGAGCCTGCTGCCTGAGCCTGCTACTTTTGCCTGCGCTGCAACCATGGCGACCCTTCCTGTTCTCGCCTTTGAGCCTGACGGCCGCCCCATCGAGTTTGACACCTGGCTTGGTGATCTGCGGCTTTACCTTATGACTGACGTCGCAGACGGAGTATCACTACTAGCCTATGTCACTGGCACTGTCCCTACTCCCGCTGAGACTGCTCCTGCCCCTGAACGAGCACAGTGGGAGCTCCGCGACGCAGTCGCGCGCCTTGTTATTCGCAATCACCTACCGATCTCTGAGCGCGCGCATTTCAACCAGCTTAAGACTGCTAAGACGCTGTATGATGCTGCCGTTGCCCGCTATTCCGCCCCGGCCACAGCCACCGTTGGTAGTCTCATCCTGCCTTACCTGTTCCCAGACTTGGCCTCGTTTCACACTGCTGCCGACCTTATCACTCACCTCCGCGCTAGTGACGCCCGCTTTCGAGCCGCTCTTACCGACGAGTTCCTCGCCACGAACACCCCCCCGCTGTACTTCACCCTCTACATCCTCGTCACCCGCCTCCCTGACACTCTTCGCTCTGTCAGGGATCACTTCCTTGCCAAGGATCCTCCAACTATCACTCTGGACGGCTTCGAGCAGCAGCTGGTCGCAGCAGAGAAGAACATCCTCGCTGTCGGTGCTGCTCGTGGCACTCCCCGCACTCCCCTCTTTGAGGGGTGCTCCCCCTCCCCTCTTGACCCCTCCTACGCCTCTGCTGCTACTGCTGTCGACTTCCTCGGTGCGGAGAAGGTCGCAGCGGCTTCCGCTCCTGGTGGGAAGCGTGGTGGTGGCAGGGGCGGCAAGGGTGGCAGGGGTGGCGGAGGTGGCGGTGGAGGGAGCGGTGGTGGAGGCGGCGGGGGTGGTGGAGGTGGTGGGGGTGGACGTGGGGGTGGAGGCGGTGGGTGGGGTGGCGGCAGAACCGGGGGCGGTGGAGGCGGCGGCGGCGGTGGTGGGGGAGGAGGCAGCGGCAGTGGCGGTGGGGGTGGGAGTGGGGGTGGATCTGGCCAGAAGGGTGGCCCCACTGGTGGCCAGCAGCAGCAGCAGCAGCAGCAGCAGCAGCAGCAGCAGCAGCAGCAGCAGCAGCAGCAGCAGCAGCAGCAGCAGCAGCCACAGCAGCAGCAGCAGCTTCCTCCCCTCACCTCCCAGCAGCTTAATGACTGGTATGCTGGGCGTGGGGCGTCTCGGGGTTCTGACCGCTGCCCCTATGTCATTCGTACTGGCCCCCGCAAGGGTCGCCCCTGCAACGGTTTTCACACTGAGTATCGTTGTTTTGCTAGGCATAGTGACGCCTGGCGTGCCAAGTATCCTGATGCTACTGAGTTCCCCAACTGGGCCGAGCTGCTTAGGCGTGATGTGCCTATCTTTGATCTGGACTATGATGTTATTCTTGCTGCCATGTATGCATTGACTGTTAGTGCTGAGGGTGACTGTTACTTGTGTGTGCCGCCTGATCCTGGTATTGACCCCGGTATAAGGGCTGCAGCCCTAGGTGCTAGTGAGTCTGCTCCCCTTGGTACTGAGTCGACTCAGGCCTTGCACACGTTTACACTTGACTCTGGTGCTTCCCGCTGTTTCTTTCGCGATAGCACCACCGTCACTCCCCTCCCTGCACCTGTCCCTGTCTCACTGGCGGACCCCTCTGGGGGCCCAGTGCTTGCACGAGCCACGACTGTGCTCCCGTGCCCGGCGGTCCCGTCTGGTGAGCTGTCAGGTCTCCACGTTCCCTCGTTCTCTACGAACCTGGTGAGCAACGCCGTCCTCCAGGATCACTGGGTTGACACCTGGACTCCTGGAGGGCAGCGTGTGGCGATCTGCACGTGCTCCAAGACTGGCCGCCACCTGGCCACGTTCACTCGTGAGCCGGGGTCTAGTCTGTACACCCTCACCACTGTTTCACGCTACACTCCTTTGTCTCCTCAGCTGTACGCGTCTGCTCAGGTAGCTACCCAGTGTGAGTGCCGCCGCCTGTCGCACGACACGCTTCTGTGGCACCACCACCTTGGTCACCCCTCCCTTCCTCGCCTTCGTGGCATGCACTCTCGCTCCCTGGTCTCTGGGCTTCCCAGGTCTCTGCCTGCCCCTCCTCCCTCGCCTGCGCCGCCCTGCATTCCCTGCGTCGAGGGGCGGCAGCGCGCCGCTCCTCACTCCTCCTCGTTTCCTCCCACAGAGGCTCCCCTGCAGACGCTCCACCTGGACGTGTGGGGCCCAGCCCGCGTCCAGGGACAGGGCTGTGAGCGGTACTTTTTGCTGGTTGTCGACGACTACACGCGTTACACCACGGTCTTCCCCTTGCGCAGCAAGGGGGACGTCCCTGCTGTTTTGATCCCCTGGATCCGCGCTGTGCGTCTCCAGCTCCGCGAGCGGTTCGAGCGGGACTTCCCTGTCCTGCGTCTGCACTCTGACAGAGGTGGTGAGTTCTCCTCTGACCTCTTGGCAGCCTTCTGTGCGGAGCACGGCATCACCCAGTCGTTCACGCTTCCGGCCTCTCCGCAGCAGAATGGGGTTGCTGAGCGCCGCATTGGCTTAGTCATGGAGGTCGCTCGTACCTCCATGATCCATGCGGCGGCTCCCCATTTTCTGTGGCCGTTCGCGGTCCGGTACGCCGCGCATCAGCTCAACCTCTGGCCCCGTGTCTCCTTGCCGGAGACCTCGCCCACGCTGCTGTGGACGGGGGAGGTTGGCGATGCGTCGCGTTTCCGGGTCTGGGGTGCTCGTGCCTTTGTCCGCGATCTCACCGCGGACAAGGTCTCTGCTCGCGCCATTCCCTGCGTCTTCCTTTCCTCCTGACGCGCCTGGCTGGCAGTTTTACGACCCCACCTCGCGCCGTGTCTTTGCGTCTCAGGACGTCACCTTTGACGAGTCTGTTCCCTTCTACCGTCTCTTTCCCTACCGCACTGCCTCTCGCCCCCCCCCGCCGCTCTTTCTCGCTCCAGGTCCTCCCCAGGTAGACCCCCTCCCCGCGCCAGGTCCTGCTCCTTCAGGTGTTTCTCAGGTAGACCCTCCGGTACCTGCGCCTGTTGAGGTCACTGGTGACTCAGGTCCTGCTGGAGGTGGTC